ATGGAAGTCTTAGTCGCTACAAGGCTAGACTAGTTGCTAGAGGCTTTCTACAAGAGGAAGGCATAGATTTTCATGAGACTTTTAGTCCAACAGTTAGATGGGATTCTATTCGTTTGGTATTGAGTATTTGTGCCAAGGTTTCTTTTAGGACAATTGTTCCTGTCTTGTATTACGTCCACTATTTCACCAACGGAAAAATTCACGACAACACTGAACATTGAAAATATAGAGCTTACCTTTGAAATCGACACTGGGAGTCCAGTAACTATAATCAATAACAAAGACCTTCAAAAAATTTGCCCCAACTCTTCAGCCAACATCGACTACACTTAAAACAGTTACCGGTGAAATCGTTTGTTGTTGAGAACATTATTCATCCATTACTAAGTCGAGATTGGTTGCAAAAACTGAAGATTCCCTTAGATTCTCAACCATCCACCTCCACCCTAGCTCCTCCACCAGCAGTGAAGCCCACTGTAACTTGCTCTTCGCCACCTCCACCACCCTCTGTCAAACCTGTGAGCTACGGCTACTCTGCAGTTCCAGTTCAACAAATAACCTATGAAATGCCATTGAGACCAGTAACTTACACACCACCCGCCTCGGCTGTCTGCTACGAGTACTCTTACCCAGCTGTGAAACCTGTAGTGCCGACAGTTCTCAAAACACCGATTGTACCACTGAAACCAGTCTGGTACATGACTGCACCCCAATACTTTGAACATTCTACTCCAACACCACTGAAGACTATCAAGTATTCAACACCAGTGCCTGCAGTTAGCTATGAATACTTACCTTCTGCCATGGTAAAACCATTGAAGCCCAAAGTGTTACTTAACTCCTTCCACCCCGACAGTGAGCTACGAGTATTCCATTCTAGCTCTAACAGCAGTTTCCAACGGTTACAAATCGACAACGTCAATTCTAAAACCCCTGGTTGATTTCCCTCCTGTTCAGCTTTTAACTCCAGCTCCTGTTCATTTTGAATACTCTACTCCAGTTCCAGACAAAACCTACTACTATTCAACGACTCCAGTAAGCTATTAAGCTATACACCTGCTCCAGTGAAAAAAGAGAAAAAAAACTAAAGCCAATTGCCTACACCACACAAGTATCAGTTATGAGTATTCCACGCCAAGACATCAACCTGTTGTTCTCTTTTTAGAGGGGAGACTGTAATGTATTCACATTACCTGGCTCTTTTAAACAATTATCTGAATCATCTGTAAAATGTTTGTTTACATTTTATATTTTTCTATGACTATTAAATTCAGTTTTGTTCTAACACTAGTGAACCTGTGCCGCTCAATGCCCCGCAAAATTACATATGAATTTAGAAAACAAATTCATCTTGTTACTTATATGTTGGCTCAACGTCAAAAATTAAAAACAGTAATAATAAATCCTTAGAAGAGAAGCAGTCCAACCATTTTATAGCTGTATTTGTATTTTATTTAGTAAATTAATAAGTGTTCAAGTATGTTATAGGGTAGTTATTTTTAACCCTCCGAGTGTCATGCGTCGCTGCAGCGACTCACGAACACTGTTTACGGCAAAGGCTCTATGACTGACTGAATCGGATTGAACTGGATCGAGTTAGGTATCGTTCTTTTCCTTAAAATTTAAGCTTTCTCCAGAGGTCTGTCTCAGCGCTGTATGTTCTCCGAGCCGATCGTAATTGTAGCAGACAGCTGACGTGCATATTTGTAAACAGCTTGGTTATCCTCGGACCGATGACTGATGTGTTTTATTACGTTTATCACTGTTTTAGTGTTAAAAATCAAAAGTAGTGATATACGTGGTGCATTATAAGAAGATTTAAGTGATTTTGAAGGGCTGGTTGATGATCCTGAAGAAGTAGGTAGTGATATTGATGTAAATTATCAGCCAGATTCCTAGCTATGGTTAGGCTATGCATTCTTAGCTAAACACAATGTACTGAAATCTGTTTTTCACTCATAACTTATTTATTTGATAACTTACCTCACTATATGATTATATATTTGTAATCCTCATAAAATTTAGAACAAAGTGGCTATTTTCAAATATTTATAGGCCTATAATTTATACAATTTCATTGAGCGCGAACTTATTTTTTTTTTGAAAATTTTCCAAAATATTTCTTTTTTTTTGCCTAAAAAAATTTTTTTAAACAAATGTTCCTTATGTTTTATATATAATATTGAAGCCCATGATTTTCCAAACAATATGGTATATAGAACAGTATAATTAACATTGTTTTTAAGCTTCTCAGATCCGTTTTAATAAAACCTTGCAAATGAGCTAAAAATAGCCAGACATTAAGGCCAAAACAAGGGACACTCGGAGGGTTAAAGATTTTTTTAAATACATGTAACAAAACTTTTTATCATATCAAACCAATAGACCTATGTAGAACCTGCTATGTGGCATATTTTGAGGGTCATAAAGATGCTGCTTGAAGAAAACACTTTTAAAAATAAACACTAAAAAAACAATATTTTAACCATAAAAGCACTTCCATGAATACTACGATTTTAGTCTTGAAGTTACCTTCAGGAAGATTAACCCTCGTTAAAATTTCCAATAATAACAACATAATATAGTTGCTCATGACTGAAATTGGTCTGGGTAAGAACAGTGCTGATCTTTAATTAAAGTTACTTGGCTTGGTGATTTCATAACTGCAAACTCAAAATACACCCACGAGTAAAAAAGAATCAAGTTATTGGTTGTGTAACCTATTTTTGTGTAACAACATTATTCACTTGAAGTAGATGATTTGTTTGATTTGTCGATCATCTGTTTTGTTTAAAATAAATAATGTCAAAGATTTGTGATTTTAAATACATAGATGATTATAGCAAAGTTTTCTAAATCATGGTAACTTAATCTCAACTAAATTTTACTATTCCCAGAATTAAAATAAAGTAGTAAGATCCATTATGAATAAACATTAAGGTATACAATCCTTAAATTGAAATGTAGTATACATCAACAGTCATAATACACAGCAATTATTATGTAGTAGACTTTGACTATGTTCAAATAACAAACATATGTTTCTGTAAATAAAAATTATCTCCTATGTTATCCTTATGGGGAAATACGAAACTTTAAAGGGCTCCAGGGCCTCACTCTCTCATTATTTCCCTAAAAAGAAAGTTTCCTGCACAACTTCACGCTACGCTCTTTCCAATGACACCAAAAACATGACAATCGGTTCAGTAGTTTCGGAGGAGTGATTGTCACAAAAAATCTGCTTGCGTATTAAATAAGTATATAGATTTTAAAGAATCTTATTAGTTTTCAAAGTGAAATATGTTTTAGTAAGGTATGCAGAGTTTGCTATACAACATAAATTGTCTATTAATTAGGTTTTATGTTGTCAAAGATTACATAGAATTTGGTCTTATGCCTATTATTTATTGATTTTATTTCTTATAACTGTTAATGAAACTTACAGTATTGCATTACTTTTGATTTGTTAAAAATACCAGTAAGCCTATGGTGTATTTATTTGCAGTATAATAATAATTATTAGAGCTAATGGATAAAAAATATTTTCCCAACAATCAAACGTTGCCAGGTTTCAGGAGATGCCTTGCGTGTCATGGCTTAGTGTCTCAGTAAGGGTTTGGAGCTGTTGACACTTAGCAAATTTAAAGCGTGTCAATCAGACGCCATTATAGTGAGGAATTTGCCCTCACTCTTTACTTCTACTCACCTAAAGCCTGTAATTGTGTGTTGCGTTTGGACCTCAGTGAGGAGGAGGTGGTTCAGGTCATTCTGGACGGAATAACACCGGAAGGGCGATCTTGCTTGGTGGTTTGTTCCAAGTTCCAAGCCTGTCACCTTTGCGGAGCTTGACCAGCTGGTTGTCAACGCCAGAAATGTGCAGCTCATCGACCAACGTAGGGTGGAAGGGAGGCCAACCAGCGCATGTCTCGCGCCTTGGTGAGTCAGGTCTCTAAGGGAGCAGAGATGTGCCCCGTCGCCCTGTTCTCATATGTTTTGGGTGTGGGCAACGTGGTCACATCCGCCATTTTTGCTGGCAACAAGCTCCCGCCGTTCCAAAAAACAGGGATGCTTTCCTCCACCTCAGCTGCCAGGATCTGTTCCGACTAGTGAACCTCTAACCAAGGGTTTAGTGGGTGTCGCTCCTCTTGGCATCCGTGCTCCCACAAGCGTTTGTCCTCACATTTTCGTCACTGTCGTAGATTCCAAGTTCCCTGCTCTGGTAGACTCTGGAGTGGCTGTGAGTCTCATTTCCTCCAGATTTAATCACATTTTGCTCGATTCTGGCGCCATCAGGAGAACTCATGAGGTTTCTATTACTTGCCTCACGGCAAATATCGCTAAATGGAAGTTCAGTTGTCTGTGGCCCAACAACACAACCAAATAACATAATGAGGTATGTTTTGCTCAACATTCTAATGAGGTAATACCGGCATGATGTCGACTTAAACCTGCCCCCTGGCAGGATTAAAGTTGCAGCCTAAACTCACTATTTTTTATGAAGAAAATATATCTCATAGTTCCGAAATTGGTCTCCCAAACCCACCATGATTATCTTAAGGCTGGCGCCTAAGTCTACTAGACTCCCAAACCAACAATATTTAGGCACGAGATTATCCCTGCTCAAGTTAGGTGCGTGCCTAACTGATTCCGAGCTCACAAACCCGTTTTATAGGCGGCAGCTTAAATACCCAAAATATCCGTTTCTTAGTCGCGGACTAGCTCTAATACCCAGCTCCCAAACCGCCTATAATAAAATAAAATTTCTTCTTTTGTATAAATTTCTAATGACTATTGAAAGGTTTGAAAAAATAAAACCCATGAAAGGATTTTTTTTAGTTTATGTTGTCAGCTGATTTGCTGGAATGGTAGTATAAAACATCTCAGATGATCTTATGAATCGATAGTAAAACCTCATTGTTAGCCTGAAAAGTACTTTCTAAAAAGTCTTATTTTTTATGAAATTTTCTTAACTATATTAAGTAATGAAGTTTATGTTTTAGTACGAGTTGCTGAGACTAATGCTGTCACCTCACCCAGATGAGCGTCCCACAACATATGGCATCCGAGCGCGGCCGCCACTTGAGTGTGTTTCACCTAGCTCGTCTAGCTCACTACTGGAGTGGCATTTTGATCTGCCCAAGCGTCGTACGTCTAGCAAGAGCTCCAGCCAGTCCAACAGCTTGGAGTCCTGATCCATCCATCTCCAGGATCAAACCGTTTGACTAACCAGTCCTAGGAAACAGATGTAAGAAAGACAATTCACATTGTGATGGCATTAGGAGTAAATTAGTACCTTTAGTTTTGTTGATAGTACTCTAGAGGTATTTCATATTAATACTGTGATAAGGGTTATTTAAGAGCAATTAATTTTTTTTTTACAAAGACTATCAAATTGCCTGAGTGAAAAAGTGAAATTTACTCAGAAGATTCTATTTAGAAAAAAATGTTCATAACATATTTGATTGTTAGGCTTTTGAAGTATTGCATCCCTTAAATATGCTTGAACTTGCCAAACTCTACTACCCTACAGGGAAGTAGTGACTGCCGTAGGTGGCATGGTAAGACCTAGATCGGTGGGACGGTGGCTCAGTCGGTAGTGTCACAGACTTCAGGCCCAATGCAGCGATGTCGTGGGTTTGGATCCTGGTCACTGCCACTACTTTTTATCAGTACACTCCATCCTTTTACTGTACCGGCTCACCCTTTGCACTGTTGGATACGTTTCACGCACAGGTCCATACGGCTTATGTGGACGGGCAAATGCAAGGTTAAATAAAAGAGGCCACAATCATTGATTGGAAAAATCACATTTTGAGAGATTGTACTATAGAGGAAAATTAGCTTTCAGTGAAGCGGCAGTATGGTAGCAAACCTGGCGGTTACTCACTGTTTGCGTCGGTGCGGTTGGTGTTGCCAACCCAACCTGCCACAATAAAAACTCCCATTTTCTTCTGTTGCTTTATAGAACACTGACCTCAATATTGTTGAAATTTTTGATGGGCAAATGTGTTAAATAAATTAAATTCCAGTAATTGAAATGTAATTAAATTATACTAAATTGAACTATGTGTGTTTTCAAACTACTTTTACAAATTTTTGGTGCATTGGTTGGCAACAGTGTAACTAGCTCACCACTCTTACAACTCCTACTTGAGCTCGAACTGACATGAGCCGCCTTCTTGAATTGACTTCTGGTAGAACTGCCAGGTAGAACCCACTTAAGAAAATCAAATATTGTTTATATTGTTGCATTGTACAGTTTATTGTTGCGTTGTACATTTGAATGTTACAGAGAGAATACAAAAAAAAAACTGGACATTTAATTTATTCATATGTAGAAAAAGAAAACTGTGTTAGTTTGCTTGTTTATAGATTTTGTATGTTGATCGAATTTAGCAAATTTATTAATTCCACCCTATACTGTTAACATTCAATTTGGTAAAAAAAGAACCTTTTTTCCTTTCCCATCGCAGCAAACCAAAGTAAGCCTACTCGTTAAATCTAATGTTTGCAGAAAAAGTATATCTTGTTGAAATTTCTGAGTTAGAATCCTATCAGACAAATTGAAACCCCATAAGTGTGCAGGTTTACTGCACCAGGGATATTTTTCAACCTCTGCTGTGTAGGTATTCCTAACATGTGTGGTGATCCAAAGCCAGGGAAGTACCAATACAACATAACTGACATGGTCAAGACAATGGCGACCAGCAACATCGTCACTTAGCCAAACAAGCTATTGTGTTTGGCAACCACGTGTTCAGTTGTTTCAAAATAATTCAATTATATAGATGCGTAACTTGCATGATTTGGAAATATTTTCATTTGTGAAACAATCAAATATTTATTTTTGTTGCTCTTTTTATTATAAAACATAGGCTATGGTACTTAAAAAAAAACAGGTATATTTAACAATTATTGTTTAAAAATGTATATTCAGGATCTTTGTGAATTTGTTGTAACAGTAAATTAGAAAACTGGTATACAGTAACAGGCAAATTCGCTTGGTTTGTCTAATTACATTAATAATGTTGTTTTGGCTAGCCCAGGCTTTGGAGGGTCCGCAATCCGTTTGTGGTTATCAATCTTTCTTTATGAAATATTAAAATTATCTTATTTAAAATTTCAATAATTCAAAAACCAAATATACAAATGAAAAACTGATTGCGGCATTGAGTTCAGCATAAAAAAGTTGTTCAAAATGATGGGTCACAACACCACCTTCACATTTAAATTAATTTGTCACATTTCAAAATGGCGGATCCAAGATGGCGGCCTGAAACATTACATCCGTCATAACTAAGTGAAAATAGGTCGACAATGAATGATGGTGTATACTTATCTTTATCTAGCACTATTTTGAGATTATGGTCTTAGTTTGTAAATGCACAATGTTAAAATGGGCTAAAAATAAAGTTATAAAAAGTCCTTATAAATTTAGAACGGATCAAGATTTTTTAAACTAATTGCGGCATTGTAATCAGCGTAAAATTCTAGTTTGAAATAATGGGTCACAACCCTACCTTTACATTTGAAAAAAAAAACTTTGTATCCAATATGGCGGCCAAAAATGTATACCCAGTCAAAATGAAGTACTTACTACTCTACAATGATCTGACGTGGTCCGGAGTTGATATCTTAAGAAATGTAGAAAAAAGTAGGGGGGGGAACTCATTTAAAACTCACCCTGTATAATCAATATGAACACATTTTAGGTGATAAAAAAAAAATTTTAATAAACCTTTATAAATAGATTGCAATTCACATAATGTTTTAAGTTTCAACTTTGAAATTTGAAAGTGCGCTGACGTTCTTCCAAACTTCGGGCAGCGATTCGTCACCAATTTGTTTTATCATTTTGCTGGGCCTTTAGATCTGCAATTTCTCTACTTTTATTCTTCGACTTCAATCCGTGACTTGGCCGAGGTTCTGAGACATTTGGCGAGATGTATGAGCTGGTTTGAACCGGCTCGGTTGTAGACAAAATGGCAAAATTTGTTTTCCGGCGATCGATTGTAGCTTCTCTCCCTTGCAGTTCTTTATACATATATTTTCACTTGAGAGGTCTTTTGCGTTTCATTCTCAACCTTGAAAATATTTAACACTAATATGTAACCAAACTAAACCAAATAATTTAACCTAATAAACCAAACTAAATATACGGTAACTATTCTTTAAAACGTTTATTCCAATCCAACCAATACAGTTATTTTTGATTACACGTCAAATCTGATGATGATAATAAGAATCTGTACATCAGCTGATTCTTAACTTCAGCTACAAAATGGTATTGACGATAACATGGGCACTTTCAAGGGCTGTAGGGCGGAAATTGGATTTTTCCAAGCCAACTCCCATAGATTTCCTGTGGCCAAATACCACATATATTGAACAAAAATCAAAAATCCTCGGACGAAAGAAACATTTTGCTCGTAAACACGCTTGTTTTAGGGTATAGGATATAGTTGCACTAGCATTCTTTTATTACAATTTTTAGGTATTTGTGAAAAATTTTAGTGTTTATTAGACAAAAACGCTGTTTCAGCTTGAATTTCTTACCTTAACTTTCTTTTTGGATGTTTTAATTTTGTTCTAAGATTACCCCTGGTTTTCAATTCTAAGGTCAAGTAAAGGATTTTTTACAGTCTTGTCTTCTATATTTTAGTCTTTATTAATTGAATCTGTAATATTATTCTAAAGCTTATATAAACAGCTCCTATTAGTGTTTTATTTTAGGCTAGATTGTTTTAGCTGTATATTGTAAATAATAATTTAATTTTGTACAACTTGTAAATATTGTATGTATGTATTTAATGTATTGAATAAACATATTTTAAAATATTTGGTTCTCATGTCATTTTTTTAGAATTCCTAAATCGTATATTATGTACTAATATTGTTATAGAAAAAGTAAAGAGGAATATGTTTAAACCCAATTTCTTGGACACTTTGATGGATAGCAGTGAAAATGGAAATGTATATTTTACACTACCGGTAGGTCTACTTTTAAATACTCTTTCTCTGTCTTTTAATACTGGTAATAGATATCTCATTCTTTTATACAGTTTGTGCTTTACCTTTGGTTAATAACAAAGGACAAGTGATACAGGATGAGGCTATGCCATGTCAAATTGATGGAGTCATTTTTTTGCGAATTTCCCATATAGGGAATAAGCTATTACCATAGTACTCATGGTAAGACCTGGGCGCGGGACCGATTTTTTTTTCGTTTTGAGGTCCCTAGAGGCCAAAAACACCATCCGTTCCAATTCATATATATATATATATTTATATATATATATATATGTTTCCGTTAGCACGATAACTCAAGCAAAAATGATCCGATTTTGATGAAATTTGGTACAAACGTGTAAACCTACATTTATTCGAACGAGTTCGCAATCCAGCATGATCGGACCATGGGAACAGGGGTTTACGGGGGGTTTTATGGGGTAAAAATAGGTTTTTCCCATTTTTGGCCCAAAAAACATAAAATTTAGCAATTTCTTTCCAAACCATTTTGTAGAGCTTAAAAAAAACAAATAATTTAGTATGTTGAAGCGTTATTATGCGCCTAATGGTTACGGAGAAAATTACGAAAAATTGTAAATCTAAAATTCCCATGTTATTCTTATGGAGAATAAGTAAACTGTTGTAGTTTGCTTGTTTATGAACATATTTTGATCAAATTTGGAAAATGTTTTTATTTCTTACTAACTATTAACATTTTACAAAAAAAAAAAACAGTTTTACCCTCCCTGATGCAGCAAACCTAAGTACTTGTTAAACTAATTCTATTTAAATAGGGAATAAATGTTATATTTTTAAGTAGACATTTCAGTGTAAATCCAATCAGTCAAATGGAAATTCGCTTAGTCTGCAGGTTTGCTGTGGCAGGGTGTATTTTCTATTTGATGAAATCAACATCCTTCAAGTGACAACCTTGTCCTACTTGACTTTGTTCAGGAATTTATTTAATTTCCTAGGCAATTATTAAATTTAGTGCCAGCAAATCTTTGGGCCGACTTTGAAAACCTTGGAATTTTATTAGCTTATAAGGAGAACCCCCAAAGCAAAAAAAAAGCTAACGTAAATCCTCCCACAACGAAAGTCATATTATTTATCTTACTAATATTATAAATGTGAAAGTATGTGTGTTTGTTTGTTTGAAGTTCAATCACGCATAAACCACTGGACGGATTGGGCTGAAATTTGGCATGATCATAGCTCACATCCCCGATTAACATATAGGCATATTCTTATCTCAAAAATCCATTCGGGCTCCGCCCCAGTGGCTCTGCAGTTCCCCATGTTAACCTTATGAGTATTCATATTTAAAGGGAATTGAAGAATTGAGTCAGCTGTTTCAACTAAAAAAGATGGTTCTATGATATACAAAAGCATTACTAAGTTATAAGATTTACCAACAGGGTGCAGCACTATATTTTTTTGCATTTATGTCAACAGCTAATTTGAACTAAGCAGCAACAAAAAACTGTGATTCGCAATAACAACAGTCTAAGTACTATTGTTTACAGTTATTTTTTTTGTGGTGAATTTGCTGTGAGTTTTTGCGATTTTTTAATAATTTATTTTTCTTTATTGTTTAGGTGAAGTGGTAGAACAATATGGTTATGGTAGATGTGTAATACTATAGTATGGTACCGTAAGTTTAAAGAAGCAAATTTTATCAAACTGTGTCCTCCCCCATTGCAATCGCAAAGCTTGAGTATAACTGCAATACGCATTTTAAATTTATATGCCAACCCCGTATGAAGGACGAGTACTCTGCTAGTCTATATATATAAAATCTAATGTATGTATGTTTGTTTGTTTGTCCTTTATGGACTCCGAAACCGCTCGACAGATTGTAATGAAACTTTTAGGCATTATTAAGCATTATTCAAGGATGGTTTGTGTGAAGTCTGGTGCAGATCCGTCAAAAGGGCTCCGCCCCAGTGGCTCTGGAGTTTCCCATGTTAACCTTATGAGTACTCATATTTCAATGTAATTAAAGAATCTTAACAGCTGGTTCAACTAAACAATTTTATTCTGTGATGTTTAAAAAGTTAATAGGTTTACCAACAAGGTGCAGCACTATTATTTTTTTCAATTTATGACAACAGCTAATTTGCAACCAAAAGGTGAGTGAGCGTAGCGAACGAACTTCAACCTGGAGGCGAGTTAGCATAGGGAACGAGCTAACCCGAAGGCAAGTGAGCGCAGCGAACGAGCTCCAACCAGGACGTGATTGAGATATGCGAACGAGCTCTTCTTGAAAATGAACAAACATTTGATTTGATATAAAACCACATTAGGACAGGGCGACGTCTGTCGGGCCAGCTACTATATTTATTTATATTTTTTTCAATGCTACAAAACAGCACATGCCAATTACTTTATGGCATTAATCATATAACAAGATTGTTAACAAGATATTACAATATCATAAATAAAATAAACACGACTAGGGGAAAAATGTCTGTCTTCAATGGTGACAGTTTCACTCAAAATATAAATATAAAAATATAAAATATAAATAAGATATAAATAAGAATGACAATATAATATTTCAATATACAGTAACAAGAGAATTTATACTAACTAAAATAATACTGATGGTCATGAATCAAATGTAATAAATATGCAAATTAACGTTGATAAGAATGCTTGAATTCATTTGACAAACAGACATTTAAAATTTTTAATGATAAGTAAAATATATCAAACTGATAGGCATTACAAGTGCGGGACATTATATTTAGTGGAGAATTGAATCCAAGATTGGTACGAGAGTAACGAGGGGTAAATACAACAGTGCTGCGTGAATTGTGTCGTGGAAAGTGAAAATTGATTTGTCCCAGCAACTCTCTATCGTCCAGAACACTGCTCACCAGTTTATGGAGATAAGATAAGGTGGCCAACTTCCTTCTGTCACTGAGACTAGTCATATCAAACATGGTCAAGAGCTGGTGGTATGAAATGTTGAATGTATAGTGACCAAATGTTTTAAAATACATAAATCTTAAAAATATATTTTGAATCGCCTCAATCATGTCTACAAGATAGAGCTGATGAGGATACCATACAACTGATGCATATTCTAATCGTGAGCGCACCAATGAACAAAATAATAGTTATACTGAGTTTAAATTTCTTAAAAAAATGCAAGATCTATGAATGAAACCTAATACTGAATAAGCTGCCTTACAAGTGTTCATCACGTGTTCTGCAATTAGAAATTTACTATCGAAAACAACACCAAGATCTTTAAATGCTGACTTTAAGACAACACCATCCATTGAATAAGGAAAATTTACAATAGTTTGGCTAGTTTTCCTTGTATAACTCATAACAGCACATTTTTTAACATTAAATAACATATTTTCTTTACTCCCAAGCAATTAGTTCATCAATATCAGTTTGTAGCTGTTGAGAATCCAAGATTGTGTCAATATTTTTGAAAATTTTTAAATCGTCAGCGTACATTAAAATTTTACTATGTTTTACACATCTGGTTATATCATTTATAAATACTATGAATAATAAAGGCCCTAAATTTGAACCTTGGGGGACACCTGAGTCCACCAGTAATGCGTTGGAGCATGCACCATTGTATGTTACATACTGTTTACGTTTGTATAAATATGAAGAAAATAATCTCAACTAGGGAACCCGCGCGGCTCAATTAGCCGAATTATTATGGGAACTGGTGCTTGAATTCGAGCAATTGTAGTAGATCAATTAGAGTTTTGAAAACTTGCTAGAAGTGATTTTTAATTTGTATAATGTAAGCTATATTTATTTCAAGTCATTTTACAACTAATGTAGATAAATAAATAAAAGATTACAAAAATACAATTATTTTAATATAGTTTTTATTAAAATTAGTAAAATATTAACATTATATTGAAACAATATATACTTATCACAGTGCCAAAACTAATTTGAAAGCAAATACTATACGTTCCTATCATCCTAATGTTACATTAAAACTTCATTGAAAACAACATTGACGGTGGTAAAGTCTCTATTTTGCAATATTTGTTGCTCCTTTGTTTCATTTATAAAAATTTTTATACTGTTGAATGACTTGGCTCGGCTCAAAGCAACATATAGTTGACCATGTGTGAACACCGGTTTTGGGAGATAAATAGCAACTTTTGATAGGGACTGTCCTTGGGCCTTATTAATTGTCATCGCAAAGGCTAATGTTATTGGAAATTGGATTCTTTGCATTTTGAAAGGAAGTATAGTTTCTGAGGGTATTAGTTTAACACGGGGTATTAAAACACTATCTCCTTTGCTACTTCCTGTGAGGACTTTGCAATCAATAGTGTTGTTAAACAATCTTGTTACTTGCAACCGTGTACCATTTATTAGACCTTTTGCCGTGTTAAGATTTCTCATCAAAAGAACTATTGCACCTTCTTTTAAAGAGAGTTTGTTTTTTGGTAAGCCACTCACTTCTATACTGTTTAAATACTCTACAGGAAGTTCAAGATGTGAAACAATATCATCCGTAATCAATGTGTCAATGCTTTCATATACTCTTTCATCTCCTGGGAGTCTAGACAAAACGGATCGATTAATTACATCACAGTCTACATTTTTTGGCGCAAGAACCGCCTCATTTTGTATTCTCCCTTGTACAATACTATCTTCAATATCAGAGTAAATACAATCTATAGGTGAGCCTACACCCAATAGTTTTTTTGTCATTAGTGAATAACCATTTGGTGCTGTAGGCAGTGATCCATTTCCTACGTTTAATAGGTAGTTTGCAAATTCATCTTCTCCATCATTTACACGCATGTTTTTTTCTAATTTCAATTGTGTTATTAGTGGCCACAGTTTGTTATTTTTCAAACAGTGTTGGACTGTAACAGAGCGTCCTGCATGGGGGACAACTGGGAGAGTCTGGCGGAAATCGCCTGAGAATAGGACAACTTTACCTGCAAATGGAATTTTCTTCAAATGACGGTCATTAGTCAAATCTTTAAATAATCGATCTATCACTGTTATTATAAATGATGGCACCATGCTTGCTTCATCAATTATTATTAGTCTCACTGAGTCTAAAAATCTTCCATGGCTAGAGTTTGGAGTAACTCCTGAAACAGAATCTTCTAAAACAGGAATTGGCAATTTAAATTGGTTGTGGAGCGTGCGACCTTTTTCAATTAAACTCGCTGCAATACCTGTAAATGCTACTGGGAGGGCAGTCAAATTATCACTGGCAAGCTTTGCTAATAGGGTTCTCTGGATGAAAGTCTTCCCACAACCAGCAGGAGCGTCTAAATAAAATAGGTTGTCATTGCCATACCCTTCTTGTACTTTTCGAATAATCAGATCAATAATTTGTTTTTGTTCATCATTAGCTTTTGTGTAAAGTTCATTGAATATTGCTTCGCTTTCTTGATTGTTGAGATTCATTAATTGATGTTGTCTTCTTGGAACTGGCAGGCCTAAATCATTACAGCTTGTATTGTGTGTTATTAATATTTCTTCAATTTCCAAAAGCGCACTGTTTAAAGCGTTTTCCTCTGTTAACCCCTGATGAATGAAATCTTCGGTCATATAGGATTTGTAAGAATTCCAAAGGTCAAGGCTATCAGTTGGAACATTGAGACCCAGAAGCCAGGCAAATAGAGTTCGTAAGTTATATGGTGAGGCATGCAAAGTAGCTTCTTGCAGTGTATCACGGCTAAGTTGACAGTTTTCAGCAATTCCATAAGCAATTGCGGCTTCTCGGTAGGTATCATAGATCTGACCATTTATAGTTCGGAGGTCAATAAAATTTTGAGCACCCTTTATATGTAAGAGTAGTAGGCGCAAATGGAAAAGTTCCACGTTTTTTGGTGATACAACATTCAGTCGTGTTACAATTCTGTGACTGTTCCTTTGGCGTTTTTTCCAACACTTTTCACCATCCTTCCATGTGTAGTGTTTAGGTATTTCAGGATATGTAAGTAATCTTGCATCAGGATCTCTTTGGTTTAAAACAAACCATGCCATAAGTTTAGTATCTTTAGGATCAAGAGCTCGCTCTTCGTTTCCTTCAATGAAAGTAACACGTTGTTGGTTTGGTAAATGACATTCTAAATTAACAACAGTGTGAGACTGATAGTGCATTGGATATTCAAGGATTCGCCACATAGCTTCAGATGACCCAACCCATCTTGCATTCAAATAACCTTTTACCTCATCATACTCTAAAGTATTGCCATTGCGAAATTCAATTGATGCCGCGTCAAATCCCTTGTATATGTATTTATAGATATACTTGATAGACTTAACAGTACTGCATATTTCTACATTAATGTGAGCATTGTATTTTTTAGTAAGGTAAGGATTGTATGGTACTACACTGCGGTTGTCAACTGTTGAACCCCTGACAGTGGCAGTTACTCCATTATCACGGCGTCTATATACAGGATAGCCATTAACATTTTCCCGTGTTTCTTCGTAAAAAGGTTTCGGATAGCCCTTACTACAGTTTCCATTTTGCATACATGGTGAATTTAAATTTAAAAGTCCACATGGTCCATGAATCATTTGGTGAATTACTATATTGTGAAGTTCAGGATAAATTAATGAATCAGGTATTTCTGCCCAAACAGTAGCATCAATCTGGTCAATTTCCCTGATTTTAAAATCAGCTTCAAGCGTAAGCAATATGTGACAGTGGGGCAATCCTCTTTTCTGGAATTCAATTGTGTAGATTAGTGAAGACACCTTTCCAAAAACTTCATTGATTAGTAAATCTTTTAATAGTTCTTTAAGTTTCCCATTAAATACACGTACTATTAGATCTGGACGCATGTTAGCTGTTTCATTGTTCAATAAATTTTCTTTTATTTCATCCCAATTGGGGTTACATGTGAATGTTATAAACATGTCTGGCTTACCATGCTGTCGAACAATAGCCATAGCATCTAAGTAATTGCTGTGCATGTTGCGAAAACTTCCTTGAAATGTTCGAGGCAAAATAACTTGGCGACCAATGTTTAGACCTTCATTGTCTGCTCGAGCTTGAATTGCGTCGTGAAGGTTCACGTACAATTCTGCTCTCAGTTTCGACTGATTACTTTTAATAAATGCCAATCGCTCTCCTTCAATTCTAGTGAACATGTCTACAATATATTGCAACGAAATTTTTCCAGCATTGAGAACTGGAGAAAATTGTTGCCTCACTGATAGTCTGTGTGAAGCGAATTGAAGTTGAGTCACCTTATTTCTTTGAGCAGTAGCTCTTTCTTCGACTTGAGGCATCCCTCTAAACCAACCCTGTTCTCCGTAGGGAAAAAGTAAAGGATAGGCCATCGGATCCAATCCTGAACAGTGGGGTGCTATTATTTCAGGTGCTCCAATTTTGGGATATATCACAAACTCTGGGTTTCCAACTGGACAACCGTCATCTGCTTTGAATATGGCAGCAACATCATTCGAAGTTGGTAAGTTGTATCGTCTATTATCTTGTTTCCTATCAGAGTAAATTACCATCCGCACATTTTCACGTTGTTCAGGTGGAGTCTCTCTTAACACCTGTCCCAAAGTTTTGAATGCTTGGGAGTATGGATTTATTTCTTCAAATACTTTGGATAACTCTTGCATAAGAATTGGATCACAATCTTCATTTTCTCTGATCGAACAACGTATATTACTTGCCTCTTCTGAGTCATAAAAATATACTTGGCTGTAGCGACTATTGTTTCGATCTTCAACATCAGGTGTGATTCCAATTCTGTGGTGAACTTGACCATTGACAACATACATATAAGGTCCTCCTCTTGTGTTTGGTCTAATATTTGCACTGGAACTTACCATAGCTAATGCGTTGTTGTAGTTTCTTATTTTCGATTTGAATTGTTTTGATTTTTCATGACTTCCAGTCAATAAACTGTTTATAAGCTCATTGGTTTGTGGAACTGGCAACGTAACCTTGCCGTTATGACAGCAAGAAGTATACAATCCATTTGACTTTCTCTCACAATTGAAGAAGAGTGAGTAACAAAAACGACACACATTGTTCAATTGGCCTAGGCTATAATTATCAGGATTTCTATTACTTTGCCCTATTAGATTATTATAGTTATTATTATTAGTTCGTCTTAATCTCATCAAATCCCTCACTAAACCCCTTCTCCTTCTATTTTCAATATTAACAGTTCTATGTCTTGGCATTTTCCAAACAGTACGGTAACAGGAATAGGCTAAATCAACAAACTACACTTTCTCTCCATAATTTTGAATGTCATAAAAAAGACTAAAATCGAGATAAAAACAATACTGAAAAATGAAGGAATTCAAAACAATAAAATATTCAACTAAATACACATAAAAATTAAACAGTTTTAACAGTTCTACGCCTTGGCATTTTCCAAACAGGAATAGGCTAATTATAATTATTATTATTAGTTCGTCTTAATCTCATCAAATCCCTCACTAAACCCATTCTCCTTCTATTTTAAATATTAAAAGTTAGTCTATGTCTTGGCATTTTCCAAACAGTAATTTAACAGGAATAGGCTAAATCAACACACTATACTTTCTCTCCATATTTTTGAATGTCATCAAAAAAGATTAAAATAAAGATAAACACGATACCGGTACTGAAAAAGGAAGGAACTCAAAACAATAAAATATTCAACTAAATACACATAAAAACGAAACAGTTTTAACAGTTCCCCGCCTTGGCATTTTCCAAACAGGAATAGGCTAAATTAACTTGATAACCTTCTCTTCATCCATTCAAATATGTCACGAAAAAAGATTCAATTCATAATGAAAACAACACTGAAAAATAAAGAAATCCAAAACCATAAATCATTTAACTAAATACACATTAAAAATGAAACAGTTTTACTTCATTCACTACAAAGAAAACACTATTGTTTACGTTAGCAACGCTCACATAATGTTTACAGTTTGATTTAGTGGAAATGTAAACAAATCACCTGATCAGCTGCTGTAATTTAAAATTAAATATGAAATCAAAACAAAACAGATGCAATTTAAAAACAACTTATTCCCCATGTTAATCTTATGGGAAAAAACCCAACTTTGATGGAATATCCTGCCCAAACTAATAAAGATTTCAAAAAATTAAAAACACTTTGCAAAACTACAGATCAGGGCCATTTTTTTGACACTTTAGTCATCAAAATCGGTCTAAAAATTAGGGAGGAGTTCTGTTCACAAAAATCGGCTTAGCGTATTATATATATAGAATATTTTTGAATGTCATCAAAAAAGATTAAAATAAAGATAAACACGATACCGGTACTGAAAAAGGAAGGAACTCAAAACAATAAAATATTCAACTAAATACACATAAAAACGAAACAGTTTTAACAGTTCCCCGCCTTGGCATTTTCCAAACAGGAATAGGCTAAATTAACTTGATAACCTTCTCTTCATCCATTCAAATATGTCACGAAAAAAGATTCAATTCATAATGAAAACAACACTGAAAAATAAAGAAATCCAAAACCATAAATCATTTAACTAAATACACATTAAAAATGAAACAGTTTTACTTCATTCACTACAAAGAAAACACTATTGTTTACGTTAGCAACGCTCACATAATGTTTACAGTTTGATTTAGTGGAAATGTAAACAAATCACCTGATCAGCTGCTGTAATTTAAAATTAAATATGAAATCAAAACAAAACAGATGCAATTTAAAAACAACTTATTCCCCATGTTAATCTTATGGGAAAAAACCCAACTTTGATGGAATATCCTGCCCAAACTAATAAAGATTTCAAAAAATTAAAAACACTTTGCAAAACTACAGATCAGGGCCATTTTTTTGACACTTTAGTCATCAAAATCGGTCTAAAAATTAGGGAGGAGTTCTGTTCACAAAAATCGGCTTAGCGTATTATATATATAGATAGATGTGTTCTCAGATAGGCCATAGTAATGCAGCTTAGACAATAACACTAAGTGATTAACTCTATCAAATGCTTTTTCAAAATCGGTGTACACACAATCAACTTGAATGTTCTGATCAATAGAATTTATAACGTACTGTGAAAAATTTATTAAATTTGAATTAATTGATCGACCCGGAAAAAATTCATGTTGATGTTGATGTGATGTTGGTCTGTGGTTTTTATATCATTTTGAACACTTTTTTTGGAATTGGTACTACTTTTGAAATCTTCCAAATATCTGGAAAACAGTTATTCTTCAAAGGTTGAAAATGAAGTGAAGTGGTTTGACTAAAACATCAGCACAGCCCTTTAATAAATAAGGTGGAATGTTATCTGCACCTAATGACCTTTTTGATTTTAATTTTTTCAAAGCATTTAACACTAATACCGAAACCCCTCATAGGCTGACGTTAACCGAAACCCCCGGTCTGTGAGACCCCATTTGAAAAATAATGGACTTTGCTTAGAAACACACAAACCGAAACCCTCGGTCTGTGAGACCCCGCTTTAAAATACACTAACGTTGGGCTTCTGAGACGGACATGTTATGAACAGACGACCTGTCAAGGTCACGGCACCCATGCAAAATGAACAAACGATATATCAATAGGTAGGGGAGGAAAAGGGGGGAAGGTATTGGGGCCTGGGGGAATGGAATCTACCAGGTAAACAGTGTTGCCAACATGCGTTTTTGAAAATACCGTGGCCCTGTCAGACCGGGGTTTCGGTATTAATGTTAAAACTTCTACTTCACTAATCTCAGAAATAATCAATGAATTGACATTCTCCAAAACTGGCGAGCAGAGCGCCTGGTTTACAAGGGACCGTCAAGGTCAATGTCGTTGGGTTGGTAAACAGATTGAAAGTAATAAGCCAGTGCCTCAGCTATCTTATCATTTACCTCTATTTCCTTATCTTCGTATTATTGTATAGTTCGTGGACCTTTATCACTTGCTCCTCTCAACTTCTTTATAACACCCCAAAATGATTGTGGGTTATTAGACAAGTTCATTTTGATGTTTGTAATACTGTATACGCATCATAATCTGTCTTTATTCTCAATTTTATTTCAGAACGTAATGTTTGAACTGATCTCAAAGATGATTCATTTGACATTTTTTTAACGTTTGCGAACTTTTTCTTTATTTTTTATCCTCAACTTTAATTTGTGCAAGAACCAAGAGGGGTGTTTGGGTCGGCATTTGGGGCGTCTTGCTGGAACGTGTGTGTGAAGAATTGTATGTATTTTGCTGTAAAAAATTTCCAAAGTGTTATTTAAATCATCACATTGAAACATTTCAGACCAGTCGCAGTCCCGGATGTCACAGTAAACTCTAAGAAAATCTGCTTTTGTAAAATCGTATATGGGTGTGTGTGGTGTGTGGTGAGGGTGAAGGTAAACTGCTTCTCCTTGGCTGTATACATTCGATTTATTTTCACTAAACTATTGAGATTCAGACTAGTTAGAGTTCAATTAATAAGTTGAGGTGACAAATAAATTACAGCAACCCATTTAGTTTTTCCAAACACTATGGCCCAATGATTGTCTTTAGAAAGTAAATCTCGTAAAAAATTAAACACTGCTTAAAATCACTACGGAAATAACATATATTACGTTATCAAATTTGTGTTGCTTTTGAATAATGCACACATTGGTATTCCACTTTTAATAATTACGTTTAAAAGTTTACGAGTTTTAGGGATATATTAAATAATTGAAAACTTGTTTTAATGGTAAAATGTTGTATTTCCTTGTATATTTATTAATTAATAGCCTATAAATTTACACCAATCATAAACTAGGTGGCGTTCGCAGAGGCATCCACAAAGTTGAGCGGAGTCATCAAGGGTTCAATATTATATTGTTTTTGTCATACTGCAGTAAAAATAGTTTTTTCATCACTCCTCACCGAAAGTAACTATTTTCGATAACAGCTGACATCAATGAAAGTAGTTGTTTCCCAAGCTCTATTTTTTTTTTTACATTTTATTTTATTTACAATCTGTTCAACAAAATAGAACAATAAGCAAATATGATAAAATTTAAACACAGTAGTTAAACTTTTTCTTTTATTATCTTTATCCAACAATAAAGCTAACACACAAACTTTGCATATTGGTACAAAGTTTAAAGTCCATAAATCTAAATCTCTAAAAACGACTACTCAGGTCCAAAACATGTCATCTTTTTAATCTATATATACAGTTGCTATTGTCCAACAAATTCAAAGCAAGGTAGTTGGGATGGTACTCTAATTTCTTTAAGTATTTGGCACTTAACCTTGAAATTTCTTCTTTGACCGTTGGGGTTCGACTGTCTCTATGGAGCACTTCGTAGTTAACGAACCATGGTGCCTGAAGAATGTGCCTTAGAACCTTGGATTGGAATCTTTGGATGACGTTCAGATTTGATTCTCTGGATGTCCCCCCACAGTTGGATACCATACGTCCATACTGGTTTTAAAATAGTTTTATATAAAAGTAATTTATTTTCTGTTGTTAATTTAGAATTTTGATTTAATAGCCAAGAAAGATTTTTAAATTTTAAATTTAACGAAATTCTCTTGTTCCAGATGTGGCTTTTCCAAGTGAGTCTTCTATCAAGGGTCAAGCCCAAGTATTTAACCTCATTGCACTGTGGGATTTGAACGTTGTTTAGGGTAACTGGAGGACACGTGTCTAATCTTGTTGTAAAGGTTGTATGGACAGATTTACTGTCATTTACTTTGATCCCCCATTTTTTCAGCCAATCGGAGATATCATCGAGTCCAGTCTGCAACATTTGTGAAGCTATAACAGGGTTTTCATGAGAGGCTATAATAGCAGTATCATCAGCGAAGGTTGCAATTTCCACATTAGGATTTTCAGGGAGGTCCGCCGTG